ATAACATCACATGCAACAGCTGTAAATATGAAAAACACATGCATATATCCAGCAGTATGTTAATTTCTTTTGAATATATGGTGTCTGTCATCTACAAAAGAAAACTGTAAACTTAAAATATAAGATGTGAACACAGGTCTCCTGTTGGATAATATAAGAAAGTCACACTTTCTGGTATTATTATTTGTAGGACCTAAGGTCCTACAAATAATAAAAAATAATAATTAAAACCAAATACTGTGTGGAGAGTAAAAAGCATAACGCAGAAACTTGGTGAAAAATTAACATGTATATCACTTTGTCCTGAGTGTTATGGTCAGAATCCCATTCTGTATAATAATATATGCATTTGACATTATTAGGTATTGCTAATTAAATTAACATTTTAATACTTCAATGAAATATTCAAGAAAATGAGAAAAATTATGAATACTACTTACTATATGATATGAATTTTTTGAAAGTGAGCTAATTAATAAACAAAGACCAAAATATATAGTTCCATATTCCTTACGCTGAAGTCTACTTCATGCTATTATATCATCATTAGTTATAAGGGCAGAACATTTGTGGTCTTCACCTTGCAAAATCCATGAGCAACATTTTAATAATATAGGAAAATTTCATATAATGGCCAGTAGCTGAACTGAATGAAATGAGTATTTTAAATTTATAATTAAACATATTTTAAATTCACTAGAAATTTAGGGACATATAATGTTTAAATATTTCAAGTTTGGGAGGAAACTATTTAAAATGTCTTCTTTTTTGGGGGGGTGGGTTGCTTTAACTGCTTATGGGCTACAGATTTCAGCCATATAATCTCATAAATAGCATTTAAAGATTAATTTTTTAACCCAGGCAGATTATATTTCCTCATATGAAGTTATTATTCAAAATTGTATTCACTGCCTTACTTATTCATTACACACTATATTCAAATACTAATTAATCATATAGTAATACAATATTCAAATACTAAAAATTAAATCCTTAAGAAAATGTTCTGTATTAAAAGGAAGAACATTTTAAAATATCCAATTGAGCAGTATCTTTTTAAATCTCAAAATATGTCACTGTTGTATTATTTTTCAAATTCGTTACTAATATATGAATTAATTAAACTCAAGTATTATTTAGAATCGAGGATTAGGGATGTGGGTGTTTTGAATGTTCAGGGTTTTATGGAAAAGTACTACTGAATGGTAAAAAGGTTTATTAAAATTCAAATAAAAAAGGTTTACTTTTAAAAACTGGCTCGTATACACGTTACACATAAAACCACGAAAACAATGCAAATTCGAAACCTCGGAAATACAGTCAATGTAATTCAATGATGTAATATACACATATAATTAATATGTACAACAAAAAATTATTGTATGAAATGCATAACAGAGCAAAAAAATGAAAACATATACATGAATTTACAATAACATAAGCTGCAAAATAAACAGAATACAGGAATATTCACATAAATTTACAATAATATGAAACAATTAAGTGTTATGAGTAATAACATTACTCAGATTTTTCCTTATAGTTAAATCTTCATTTTCATTGTTCTTTTAATATCTTGTGTTGGTGGTTGGCCTGCACCCATTCTTTGAGTGATAATCTCTGTGGCACTTCATCAAAGCCTATATTGTTGAAACAAACATTACCAAATGCTAACTTGTAATGACATTAATACATGTATCATAACAAATACACAATGAAAATTAAGAAAATGTTAATGTACTAATATTTCTTGTTTCAGTAGTATTAATTCTTGAAATATCATAAAAGAGGAATTAGACATTTTTTATTAAACATTCAATTATACATCTACCAATTTCAGTGTTATAGTGTGGCACCAGGTAACTATGCGAGACACACTAATCCCCTCGAAGATTTCTGATTTACAAAATAATTTTGGCAGTAACTTGTAAAGGCTAAAAAATATTATCAAAAAGATACAATTCTTAAGTAATTACATATATTTTGCAGAAATACTTCGGAACTGTTTGAGCTGGTATTCGTGAGAATCCTCGAGTAATTTTTTTAATGCAGAATAATTTGAACTGAAAAACAACAGAATGCAAACCAAATTATATTATCCCTAAGTATTCTTCTTTCATTTCACTTTCTAATGCATGCATAATAGCATTAATTAAGAATTTAATAAAAACATTAAAAATAATTACATGAAGCAAGATCTCTAAAATTTCAAAATTGCATATAATTAAAATCTAGTTTAATATCCGCAATACGTTTTTAACTCATTATATTTTCATAAATTTAACTTTGCAATCTATGACGAATTACAACAAAACATACTTTATGACAAAAGAACATGAACTTCCAGACTAAATATAATGTGCATCATTTAGTCTGAGATTAAAAACTATACAAAAAATTTCAAAACACATGATATTTATTCTGTTGCAGAAGCACACTGTTTATTTTTAATGTATATAATAATAAGCAAAGATGATATGTGTCAAATTTTCAGTTCTATAATTTTTATATCTAATATACAGTGTACAATTATGCTAATAAGCAATCTTTATTTTCAAATCCTTGCATTATATGTTGGTGATTATTGGGGTGGTTAGTTATTATTCATCTGTTTTCTTATCCGTCATGGCGACTTACACTAAGACTGTTAATCAAAGGCTCAAATGTATCCCTGCCTCCCGTAATTTTAAAGAAATATTTGAAGGAAAGATAGGTTAAATTACATAATAATTATACGTACTTTGCTTGTGTGTTTACAGTCAGACATAATATCAACACTCAACAACTGAATGAAATATGCTTGAAAATGCCCAAGTGGGATTGAATGAATGGCTTCAATAACATATATACTGGAAAAGTAAATAAAAGTATTATAAAAAGTATTGCCTCCATTTCTAAATAATAGTTGTGTAATAAAAGTACATTTTAGATATGAATATTAACTAATTATTTTTTAAAATTTTATCTCTTTTGACCTTTAAAATGGAGGTAATGTTTCTGGTTGATATTATGCAAAAACCTGAAAAACAAACAACAATTACACTAAATCTAAAAATGTTTCCAAATTTCATACATCTGCAAGAAACTAATAAGGTCAACATTCCCTGATTAACTGAATTTGTTGGCAGATGATGATTTAAATCTGAATATAAGAGGCATGTAAATAGTATAAAAGCACACCAAATTTATATCAGTGTGCGAGTCATCGTATGTGTGAATGAGTGCCTACTATAAATTAAGTATAAATCTTACTCTGAACTACTTAGTATACTTATGCACTAACTTTTGCATTTTCTTAATTCATATATTTAATTAGCATTATTACAAAATTAAATAATGTCTGTAATAATTGTAATTGAAACAATTACATTTGAAATTTCACCTCTTTCATTAACTTCATTAGCAAAGCATACAATTAAGTGCTTCACAGTATTATTAACTGTAACTCAGACATTTACTTACATCTTAACATTCCACTTCCAGAAACAAAGGTTAAAATTTTTCAGCTGACATTCACTGTGCCAATGCCTGAAATTAAAATCATTTTACAAAAATCTTTAAAATGATGATTCAAGTATTGAAAAATCATAGATTATAACATGGCCATGCACACAAAATATTTTATTATTTTTATATCAATAAAATGATATGTTGTTCTGTGCTGAATGACTTATTTAACACGAGAGTGTGAACGGTTGTGAAATCACATCAAAATAATAAGAAAAGTTATAAAAAATGAAATAAGGGGGTTATTGTATTTAAAATTTACTATTTAGTTTAGAATGATTATTTACTAACTGTAATTCATACATTCATCTCTGGTACAGACTTTCTACAAATTATCTTTCGCTACTATAGTCTGTATAGTCAGCTTGACAGATACAGCAAATGATGATTGACAGTCATAATTGTTATCTTGCCTTCCTGGCTACATGTGCAGTACATGTACTACATGTTTTCCTATAACTTTGCATGATGGCATACATACTTTTCACTGCAGAAACATACAATTTTATGAAAGAACTTAATTTGCAATAATATATAGCACACATGAAAACAATTCAAGCATACTTTATAATATTAAAGTGCAATGTTATGTAATCATTGACGAAAATTACATACATCAAAATATACTTTATTGTTGACTTTAATATTACTTTAGGGTTATTAAAAATCATCATCAATTCCTACATACTGTACAATCATTTGCCTTTTAAAAATATAACTTGTTACATTTAATATTTCATCAGATTTTTCTATTCAATAGATATTTAATAATATTAGGAGTTAAGTAAATTTAAACCAATTATATTTTATTTTTACCAATTCTTTACAGTTATACCACAATTTGTTACATTACTTTATATCATATTAATTTCAATCAAAACATTTCAACATATTTTGAGATAAAAGACCCAAGTACCTTGCATCAGTTTTACCTGTGATAAAATTACGCTCTAAATACTAATAGTTTTCTTCTTGAAGTTTCTTGAAAATGATGTTTCTTTTCGAAAAAATTAGAACAGTAAGGAAACAAATCAATCCTTAAAACTTTTTTCTTAATGTTACATTATAAAGAAATTTAGGAAATGTTAAAAAAAGTTATTGAACTGTATGTGTGTTAAAAAAGATGATACTGTGACATAGTACATAAACATACTTGCACTTATAACATATCAAATTTACTGAAATGGGAAAATATATACATACCTGAAAGCAATCTTGCAATAGCATTTGGTTTGGAGCTCTTGCGCTATCCGCTGGGGCATTTATATTTACGCTGAACCCATTTTTTGCACTCTTCAATCGAATTTATACTTTGATCGTATCATTAAGCTTTCCAGTTGTTGGAGCAGTACAGTAAAAAATTGTATTTTAGTACAGTAATTACTATACATTTACATTATACTCTACAAAGATTTAAACGTCAGATTTGTTTACAATCAGATGGCGGTACATCTACCATATACCGTATTTATCCTCCTTTCAAATCGCGCCAACATAGTAATTACGCCAAATTTTTTTCTGGGCATGCGCAGTATGCGACATTCGTTTAACACTGTTCAACTCAATGTGCAGTCTGCCATTACGCGGCCGGGAGCATGAAAAATGCTGCTTCGCTCCTTTCCCTTCGCCTTCGAATCAATCCTACACTCAGACCAAAGAATCTCTAAGGAGAGATCCTTAGGCCCATATCACACGGCGTTTGTTTCACACGAACAACTGTTTGGGACAATTTTTCTGCCTGGTTTACTATTGAAAGAAAGACGTGCGACTTTTTTCTTCCTTTCGAAAAAAGTTGCAAGTTGTTCGTTTTCAACCAATCAGCTATCAGCGCCGAATGCTGTTAGCTTGTTTGTAGTGGAGAACCAGTTTTCCCTGTGTTAACCCCAAAGCGACCTGTGGTGATTGGCTGTTGTGACAAAGCAGAAAAATTGTTCCAAACAGTTGTTCTTTCGAAACAAACCGACGTGTGATAGCAGCCTTAGAGATTCTTTGACTCAGACGATCCAAGCAAAAGGTGTCTGTTCTTCAAAAACTCCTTCACTTCCTTCAGCAACCACATCTCCCATTATGCCATTATTATCGCCCCTCAATTTTAGCACTAATTTCCGCTTTTACCCCCGAATGACCAAAAAATGTTTACGACACATGCGCACACTAACCGTCTTTCGCCAAGAACCTGACACTGCAATTCGCCAACCTGATGACGTAGCCGAAGGTGAAAATGCAACCCTTGACCTTTCTATCACGTAAACAAGTCTTAGGGGGTCAACCGCACAAAAGAAGTTTGTTCTAGAAAATTCTAAAGGACAAACAGCACCATGACAAAGCGAAATTCTTCCTTTTTTTCCGAACTCTTCACAGAGAAGCAAAATTTTGAGAAATTATTCAAAAATAATTCAAAAATAAAAGAAAATAATAAGTATTTAATGAAGCATCTGCCTTTTCCCAAACTTAAGAATTACAAAACCGAATTAATCATGAAAATAAAAACTCAATTTAATAATTCAGAATTAAAATAAACATTAAGATTTTCAACTAAGAAAATAATTAATCCAGTTCTTTATAATAGATCGATTAATTATCTACACAACATATGTTATATATAACCATTTTTGCAAAAGATAAAGAAGCATACAGTGCAAAAGGAACAATAAAAGCTGATATATTTTACAATTTAGTTGTTCAGTGGTCAGCAAAATTCACCTGATTATTTTGCGAATATTACTCCCGCAAAAATACGATAATTCGAATCTTGAGGGATGCCACATTAAAAGATTAGAATTGCATATTACCGCAAACAAGTTCTGTTGCCTTATTGAAGCTTAATTCTTCTGAAACATGTAATTTACGGATCCATACCTTCTATATTATTAAAGAACGAATAACCTGTATGTATGTTTGTTACCTGACACTGTGGAAAAACAACGGTAACTAGAGACACCAAATTCTAAACACATATCGTAATTTTTCTTTTGAAGAACTAAAGCTAACAAATCACTAACATGTATACTTGAATTTATAATTCTTCTCTACCAAAACGCATTATACTTGTTTCAGAGCTTTTTCATAAATATTGCCACCAGGTGCAAAGCTTTTAATTAACTCATCAGCGAAACTACCCTATTCCATAGTTTAAGATAGATATGAAATCTTATCGTATAAGTCAAAATTGGGATTCTCATCTATTTTTACTTCCTTGTACGAAGTAAAGGAAGTGTTGTAATCGCGAAAAATTTCGGGTATCATGCTTCAACGAAATATCAATTTTGCCCGCTCCCTAATCCATCTGAACCATGTTTTTGCGATGTTATAAATATATATGTATGTATATAATTACAAAACATTATTTTAAAAAACATAATATAATCATGCCTAGTATTTTCTCGCATTAAACTGCTGAAAAATTATCAGTAAAGTCATTAAGTAAGAAATTTAGAAACAATTTTTCACAAAGACCAAAAGTTGAAATAAATTTCATAAAATCTATAAAAGTAAAAAAGAATTTAAAAAGTGTTAAAACTAAAATACTTCGAACAAGTAATACCCTAATTCAAAAAATCAATGAAATTTAAATAATAAAAATATAAAATAAGAGGAATTCAATCAACTTCATTGCCACTTCGTCAGGAGGAGGACCATTGAAATCAATTGAAATATCTCTTCCATAAAAAGTCCTTGCTTTTCTGTATCCAGAATCAGCCGATTAACTTTTCCAATGTATTTTAATTATAATAGTTCACCCGAAAATTCTGTCCCCTTCCCAAAGCAAGGAAAAAACCAAGTATACTCAAATCAAAATTTTTTACATTTAGGCAAAGAGAACTTTATCCAAAGAATTCAAAACTAAGTTAAATTATAAAACACTTTAGTGAAACACTTAATCCAAACGGAATTGAAATATAAACTCACAAGAAGTAATTCAAATTTCGAGTACTTTCAATTAGAACACAGCCGAAACTGTGAAGAAGATCGTTATATGTAGTGATGCGTAGGTTTTCCAGTTTGGCGTCATTGGCGAAACTAAAATTCAGTGAAGAGAAAGTGATTCCTCAAAAAGTAAAAAATTATAACAAAAGACAAAATTTTGAAAGCAAAAGAAAAGCATTTTAAAATATATATTAAAATTTTAATTTCAATTTATATTTTGAAAAACAATAATAATACTTTACTAAAAAATGAAATTAAAGTAAATTCTAACCTTTTTCAAAACAATTAGTGAATAAAGAACGTGATTCAATGTAAAACTTTAATAAAAGTTTTAGAACTAATTATACTTTAAAATTAAAATGACCCAAATATTATAAATAGGTACTCACTCTTTTACCCGACTCGGTGAGCTCACTTTTTGTATTCTTATAGATCAAGGATATCAAACTCGCGGGCCGCATGCGGCCCACAACAAATATATTTGCGGCCCGGCCAATATATCGGCAAATAATAATATATAATAATAAAATCATATATCGACGAAGAAAAAAAATGAAATGTTTACTGCTAAGTAATTAAAGATAATTTATTCAGTGTTGTTAGATTACTCACAGCGAGCTGACACACACACTACTTAAATTACAAATGCGTGTGAGTAGCTTGCGTTCAGCTACCTTCGGCTTTTGGGGGACACGTGCACTCAGAACTTCGCATCCCCCGATAGCCGTATGTGCTCGAACTCATGCTCTCAGTTTTCCAATCATAGTTTTGTACGATATATTGGTGCATGCACTTTGCTTTATTATTAATTATTACTTAATTCATATTGTTACGGATTTCATAGTTTATTTATTTAGTTTTTTTTTTTTTTTTTTTTTTTTTTTTTTTTTTTTTTTTTTTATTTATTTATTTAGAATTGTAATTAGATTTGCTTCATGTTGCCTTAGCAACAAAGACGATTTTCGAAAAGACAGCTGCGTTGGAAGGTTAAAAATAGAACAGCGCGTGCATTTAATACTTAATAAATAAATATCTCGTAATTGCTGTTGCCATCCACAAAAATCCAGATATTTATAGATGTTTCCAGTATATTCGAGAAATTAATTATAAAGCTTATAAAAGCCGAGAACAAACAACTCATCTCAGTAGTAGCTGTAGTTCTAGCGAACTGTTTGTTTACTTAATGCTGTGATTTATTTGTAGCGATTTCGCTGTGAGATAGAATTAGTTTCTCTGTTTTGAATTCATTTTTGCTAAACGTTTGACATTTTTTGATATTGTTAGAATATTTTTGAATAAATATTTCAGCATTTTGATTTATCTCTTGTGGAAAGAATAAATTTTTGTTAACTTTTTAACGTTAACCGTGTTTATTCCAGCCCTTTGTATTCAGTATGTCTATATCAAAACCAAGTGGTAGTAAAATTAAACGAAAATTCGCTGACCACCATAGAATATTCCAAGTAAAATGGGAATTAGAATATTTTTGCAGTGAAATAAAAGATAAAATAATCTGCTTGATATGTAATAATACTATTAATGTACCAAAGTTATATAATATTAAACGTCATTACGAACAACACAAATCGAAATATAACAATTACGAAGGATTAATGAGAGAAGAAAAGTTGAAAGAGCTCAAGTTAGGAGTGAAAAAGCAACAGTCCATGTTTAGTAAAGTATTGCAAGAAAGTGAAGCGGCGGTACATGCAAGCTACGTCTTGTCCGAGTTGATAGCTAAACATTCGAAGCCTTTACTGCCGGTGATTTCATCAAGAATGCCTAATGAAAGCTGGGGGAAATTGTTTGTCCTGGAAATGTGAAGGCTTTTCAATCAAATTTCATTGTCTCGAAATACAGTTGCGGAAAGAGTTACTGATTTAGACGGAAAGACGCGAATTTAAGTGATCAGATCAAAGCAAAATCATCTAGTTTCGAAAGTTTCTCCATTGCCTGTGACGAGAGCACGGACATTAGTGGCAAAGTTCAATTAGCAGTGTTTCTTCTTTCTTCGTTCTTGTGACAAGAATTTTAACATTTTGAGGAATTACTGGAACTAATACCGATGCCTGGTACTACCACAGGAGAAGATATATTTACTTGTGTTTTTGGACTTCTGCAGAAATACAATCTACCTTTGGCAAAATTAAATTCTGTAGCTACAGATGGCGCTCCATCAATGACCGGGAAAAACAAGGGCTTCGTAGCATTACTAAGAAAAAAAACTTAGTGAAATTCACGGTTCAAACATTCATCATATGCATTGTATCAAGAAGTTCTATGCACGAAATTAATAAATATGGAGAATGTTTTGTCATATATAAAAAAAGTTATAAATTTTATATGATCT